CCAAGGCAGTCCTGGAGCAGAGGGGCAACCCAGCAGGTGAGGGGTCAGAAGGGTGACACTGTCTGAAAGACCCCACAGATTGGGAGAATAAAGGGGACAGGATTGGGTGCCCCTTCTTCCAAGGAAAATCTCAAAAAAGAGAGACATGCAAGCAAAAGAAGAGATTAGCATAGAAACCATTATTGGTATGTAGCAAAATTATATTTGATGAAAGAAAGAAAGAAAGAAAGAAAGAAAGAAAGAAAGAAAGAAAGAAAGAAAGAAAGAAAGATGCAGAGAGACTAAACTGTGAACACATCCAAAGATTTTCTTCGAAATGAAATTTAAGAAGAGAATCTACAACAAAAGAAAGGGAAAAATGAAGGGAATGCAAAAGGGAGAGGAGAGGAAAGTTGAAATTCAATTTCATTGTTGCCTTTGAATTATTCTTATTCTTATTAATACTAATACTAATAATAATTAATATTTTAGAATCTGACCCTAGTTCTTATATATGTAAAACTGATTCTTAGCTGCAGGAGAGAGATGTGAAACAGAAAAGAAATACCTGCCAAGCCTTCAGACTTGGAGTCTCCAAGTTCTTCCCACCATTGATCCTTGTCCTCTTGGATCTGGATAAATAGGCTGCATGTAACACTCGGGCCACAGCCCAGATGGTGTTGTAAATGAAATAGTTGTCCAGAGAAAGGACCCGATTAATTACCTCCTGAGGCAGAGCCTGCAGCTCTTCTCTCTCTCTGCACCGTCTCCAGACTTTCACCGAAAAGACATCCTTGGTGTAGGAGCACATAAAGGATGTCTGTGCAAGATAATTCATGACAGGCAAGAAATGGATCAATCCACCATATTTACCCATGTGGTTTCTCTTCATCAGAAAGGAAAAAATGCTATGGATGAATTGAATGGGAAAGATATCATGTGCCAAAAAAATGCTGAAGTCCCATCGGATTGTTGTGATCAGGACTTTTCCTGCAACTGGTTCCTTAAAACTTTCAAAGACTGCTTGTATAATGATTAGACCTATATTGAATGTATACACTTCAGCACCATAAAGAAAGACATTCACTTGTCTCCACTTGCGATATGGACGATCACTTATGAGCAAGTGATAGATAGAGTTGGAAAAGGTTTGTGAGAAAACTGGACAAATGCCATTCAGAATCATCATGGAAGTCAACATTGTTATGAACCTCTGGCCCTGGTCAGTGTCTGGAGCAAGGAGACCCACCAAGGTCCACCTGAAATGGAGGAGGACCTTGACCATCCCTGAGTACTGGACTCCTTCAGCAGGGAGCATTGGGTAGAAGAAAGGAAACTGACTTTTATCCCTCAGAATCTGGGAAACAAATGTGTAGCTAATCTGAAAAGCAATGAAATATGGTGTTTTATTTGATGCCCATAACATCCACAATGAAAGATAACTATTTTGTTCCTAATGAAGCAATAATTCCATTCTTTGCAATGATGGCTTATCTGCTCACTCATTGCTTTATGCATTCCTTCCCTTCCCCTTTGGTTCTACAGAGGAGAATTTTTCAGACTCATGAAACTAGAAGAACCCCAGTCTAAACTGGGGCCATGCTGGGAGGGAATATGCCTGCTGTACTCCTTCCCTCCCTTTGCATAACCTGAACCTTCATCCTGAATGCCTCCCATCTCCATAATCAAACTCTCTTCTTCACTTGCAATAGAGGACCTCTGACTGAAAGTTACAAGACTAAACATTCTCTTCCCAGCAAAGACACACCTGTGGAATTTTGTACATGCCCAACATTGTTGAAATCTGGATGGAGATATCAGTATCAACCCCTTCGAGAACAGCCACTGTGTTTCTCTGCCTTCCACAGCTGTAGTTGGGAACATTGGCCTCTCCATATGAAAGAAGGTCCAGCAAAGCATCCGAAGTCATTTTTGCATTGAAATAATTTTCATAGACATTGTAACTCAGGGTGATGTTGGGTAAGAGATGGGAATCCTGATTGATGTCCTGGATGGCAAAAAGGAAGGACAGCATTTTCCAATATTCTGGTGCTGCTTTCCTAGAAATATAAATGTATTAGAACATAACCAATGAAAAGAACATTTATTTAACTTTCTTTTTATGACAATACTTCTGATCTACCCATGCAGTAGAGTTCTTCTGAATGGATTACAGTATTTCTAAAAATATTAAAAAAAGAAAAACACAAATGCATTAATAGAAGTTATTAGATCAATATCATAGAAATAAATGTTACCTTCTGGAATACTTAATAGTTGGAAGTTAATCTATGCCTCTGTAGAAAACATAGAATCATTAAATCCTAAAGTTGGAAAGGCCACTTAGACCACCATCTCCACACTCAGACATATATATAAACACATGCAAGAAGCATCTGTGACTGTTAACAAAGCCAGCATGTTATCAATCTCTGGGCAAGTTTAGATTTTAAAGTTCTTGAGTGGAGACTTAACTTCCATTGAAATCATCATAAGATTGGCATCAATTGTGAGTGGGACATAGACACATTTGGATATTCAGTGACTAAATAAATTCCTTTCTGTGATTCCTTAACATTATCAGTGAATTTTTGTCCAGAAAAAAGAATGTGGAGGTTGTCTCATTTTCAATGCAAGGAAAAAAAACAGCATTGCTGCATTTTTATGTCCACGTTGAGCCCTTTATGGGGCAAGGGAGGGGTAGAAGGGAGCAACCACCCTCTCCATCCCCAGTCTAGCTCTGCTCAGAGGATGTCAAGGAAAGTATGATGGGAGATAGCAAAGGGAACAAAGTCTCATAAGATTGGAGGGTAAAATGTAGGTAGATTTACTTACCACAATAATTCAGTTGAAGGAGCTGTGTCAAAGTTTAGTGGTTGAAACTTAGCCCTGGTTGCAGAGATTATGCCACCAATGAAAAGCTCTCCTGGCCTGTAACGATTCTGTGGGTCCACCCCATCCCCCTTCTGAGTTAGGAGGCATTTGGCCTTGAGCTTCATACAGACTCCCTGGGGCCACAGAAGCAGCACAAGCAGCAACATGACTTGTGTTCCTGACTGAGCCTCCAGCTCTGTGTCTGCTCTCAGTAAAGATCAAGAAGGTGTAGAAGCTACAGGGTCTTTCCTAATCTAGACTGTGTCAAGGCAAGGCAGCACATCTGGGAGGGAGAGGAGTAAACACAGCCCCTGACTGCCCTCAAAGGCTCCCCTTGCTCTTTCTTTCTCCAGAAGCATTTATGCACCCACGACTTTCCAGTTCCATGACATCAGCCCACAAAGCTTTAATCTGGTATTCAGTTGAAAACATGTTATTGATATCTGTTGTCAAATTCTCTAAAGTTTGCAGAAAAGTCTCTAGAGATTGAGCATCAAGACAACAAGTAAATCACTATGATTTGGATCATAGTAAGGAGGAGACAGATCAGTTCTCTGAGCTTTGAATGAGTCAAGAGGCAGATATGCAAAAGGAGAAGTCACAGATGGGCTTAAACTCTGAAGAGTAAGACAGGAGAATTTGGCCCCAAACTTTTGTAAAAAAATATATCATTATAATCAGGATCAAGAGAGATTTTTAGCATAGGTGTGAATAGTCATTCACACGTCAATGCTAAAACCTGAACTAAGTTGGTCCGGATTTGTGATGGAGGAAGAATCTAAAAAAAGTACAGTGGTACCTCGGGTTACGAACTTAATTCGTTCCGTGACTCTGGTCGCAGC